GTATAGAGTATACAAATACATCTTTGATCAATATCAAAGTCAGCGTCAATATAGTCAGTTTGTGAAAATGAAAATTGGAAATTTACTTTTTGCTAGGTTCATAAAAATGTTTAATTGTAAAAACCAAACTCACACAATTGGGATGAGTATTCTAAATTTCTTTTACCAAGTTAGATATGCACACATCTACCATGGAAATAATAAATCGAAACAGCATTCGTTATGTGTCCGCAAGGGTATTCATTGCTCGACAACGCAAAGATAGATGTTCTTTGTTGTTTTTATTTAATATCGACGAAGCATCGAATAAAAGGACTGTTTGGGAATTGAGGGGAGCGAAAAATTGAAAAATTCTCTTTTGACGCACAAAAATATTTTTATAAAATAATTAAGTTTGCTTTTTGTTTGCTGTAAATTATTTTTAACTGTGTGAGAAGGAAACAATAAACTTTCAGAGGCGATTTTCTTGGAGAGAAATTAAATCTGATAGCGATACCTATCTGAATTTAAAAATTCTGTCTGTAATTCAAACAAACAATGCCATTTCGTTGCAAACCAGAGAGCGACACATAACTTTAATATATTACAGTAGATAGTATAAATAGCTTTCGTAGCATATTATAGCATTATGTTTGTCAACGTAAGGTTTTCAAAAGGATCAACTATGGGCTGCCGCACAGTTTCTAATTTTAAAAGACGGTATACCAACCGGGTCTGGCTGGGACAAGGGTTTGACTATATCAAAGTCACTGAATAAAGAACTTTCAGTGGATATGAGGTGCAGCTTGACATACATATATAACACTTGTGCATCTATGACTGAATGCGTGTTATGATACCTGAAGTAGTCTTAAAAATCATCTGAAAACAGATCGGGGAAAATCGGTCTAGTCAGAAGTAGATACCATGAACCCTCTGAACCCAAAAAGACATATTTTCGTAAAAGAAATTAGAAATTGCATATACATGTGCATACGTACATTTATACACCCTTCGTATTATAGAATGCAGAAAATTATGATTATTATTATTTGAGTCTCCTTACGGACAGTGAATAAATCGGATAAAAGCAAATTTCAGCAATCCCCATACAAATTGCCATAAAACTCAATCGAAAGCCAATTAAAATAGAGGCCTTGCTTAAGGGCTTCCCAACCATTACCCTTACATTCAGGTAGCCATTAAAAACTTTAATTGAAAATATCACATTATTTTTCAGTTAACGTCAGCAGAAAAGGCTAAGTCACAATGCCAGCTATAGACAGGGCATTCTGACTATAAAGTCAACTTGCAACATACGCCTTGAAAGACATGCACGAAACAATCCAGAAACCCAAGTATATTTTTGAGTCATGTTCTTATTGACTAGAACAAAAAAGCTGTCTTCAGCTTACAATCATTTTTATAATATATTTAAGGGATCAGGACATATTAATCAGAATTTGCCACTATATAATTATGTAAAATTTTAAAAACGTTTACACGCCTTTAAAAATCGTAAAAGTTTGCTTTCTTATAACGTATGCTGCATATATCATATCATATTTAGTATTATAAAATAATACAAAATCTGTTTTCCGACACGAGTACGTCGTATCACGCGCCCAATTCCCAATATGGATACATATTGCATACATTTATGTACATCAATAGAGAAACAATGACTTTCATCTAGAGTAAGAAAAAACCTCGTGCACAAGAAAGTTACCCAATTAAAATTGTAATGATGTGGCGTTTTCTGAAATTGTCTTAGACAGAAGTTGTCGCCAGTTTCTGGTAAAAGAACTTCGTTGTCGTAAAGTAGCTGATATGGCATTAAAACGGCAACACGTCTAAATGGAGACGACATAGGCATTAAGGATAAACAAGGATTCAGAGTGGACACAGCACACACACACACACACACTTGAGACATACGATGAAACCCAACCCAACTTGGACACCCCCAATTTTCCTCTTCATAGTTTACAATCTTATTATCTTTGCAGGCATCTCAAGCCCTAACACACGGAGCTGGTCCCAAAAATATACACCACATCTTGCAAGGCAATTAAAAACCTTCCACAGGCGTTGATGTCGTTTTGCCCCTTTTCGGTTATTTGCTGGCATTGTTATCGCCCTGCCCTTTGGCTGATTATGTGGTGTTTGAGGATCGTTTATTTAACATATTTTGCATAAAATTCACTTTTCATAAGAAAATTACAAGCTTTGCTAACCGGCAAAATAGTAAATAGCTGGGCTAATAGTTTTACTCTTTCTTCACCTTTGGCTAAAATTATGTTTAATCACGTTTTATTTTCCACGCTGTTTAAATCAAAATTTAAAATAGAGCTTGGTAAATATGTAATTTTCACAATAATAGTTGGAACTAGCTGTGAATATTGTCCTCGCTTACAATATTTACATTTGAATATTCTTAGCCTTGTTAATTTCATTAAATATTCAAATTCTTGGGAGAAGTGGATTTTCTGAAATGTGTTTGAAGTTTGTTGGAAAAATCTTCCTATTTTCCACTTTTTCTTTGGATTTAAGAGTTATTACGATAAATTCAATTCGGATTAAACAAAAATCTTGTACCTATAACACCTTAGTCCCCAACTTTTTACCCAACCAAAATATTAAAAATGTATAATAGCTCTATCGAATTGGACTATACATTGGGACATAACTCTAGACTACCATCGAATAGCCCTTCCCAAGCATACTTATACCCTGAATCTATGAAAATGAGTAAGAGGGGTATATTTGTTATCTGCAAAAGTAAGTAACTCTTAATTTAAAACTTAGGTCCTCCTAGTGCCAGTCCACTACAAGTTCGATAAAAATCGAAAGCAGAAATTTTGGGAGACCTCGAAAAATATGATTGGCCGATCATATGATCGATACATTCATAAGGTTGTCTCGGTCAAGAGTCCCTATCTGTTAAATACGTTTTCACAATATATATATATAAAATCTTTTCCCTTGTTAATGAGTTTAGGGTATGAAAATGAGTGCTCTCGAATATAATTTTAATATACTGTTCATGGAATATGTTTGTCGTAAACTTGAATCATTGATACCCTCTTATCGAAATATGCTTATCTTCGTAAATATGTATTTTTTATATTTGCACAACCGACTGACTGATGGGAAGTCAACGCCAAATCAACTCAAAAATATCCACACAGACAACCCCAAAGAGGGAGAGAGAGTGAGAAAGATCTCGGTCCAAGTTAATCTAACCCAACCAGAAGCCAGACCCAGAAAATCCCATAAAAGGCAGCTCAATGATATAGAAAAATAGATAACGCAAAATTTGCAAAGCATCATGGTAAGAAATCGCAAAAAATAAAAAAAAAAGAGGGGAAGAAATAAGAAGCGTGTCAAAAAATCAACTTTAAACTAAGCCGCAAAAACACTCGAACGGAGCGTCGTCAAGTGAATAATGGGCAAATCCGCAAAGTAAATATGACACATCGCAAAATGGCATTTGGTGATAAAACGGAACACGCCTTGCGACAGCATAATGTCAGCGACAGTCGCATATCCACATTGTACATATTCAATACAAAGGTGTTTGTTTGACAAGTCTCCAGACTCGTCTCCAGTAAGGGGTTACTCTTGGTTATTCAATTTCACCCTCTCAGTCCCCCAGCGATGAGTATCAATAAAGAAATTGCTCCGCTGGGCATAAGCATTGGCTAAAGTATGTTGATAATGTGTGTGGGGTACCGTTCACCCATATCTACATGCATATAAACATACAAATTTTTTGGTTTTTATGCTTAGAAAAATGCAACGCAAATGTATCTTACGTGTACGCACATACACTCACACATATGTATGTGTGGCTGGGCGAGCGGCCTAAAGAGCTTAGGACCGCTCTCTTTGTTTTGCAATTTATGACTTTCTGGCATTAAATCTGTATTTGAGTACAGTGTGCCATTCGATGTGCATTAAGGTTCAATAATCATAAAAATAAAAAAAAAGAAAAAAAAATAGAATAACCTACGTCAATTAACCCTTCACACAAGAAATCAAAACACAGCAGAGTTGACAGATGCTTGCACAGAAATCACAGTCACCGGCAATTTCAATGTTCTATGCACGCAATATTAACGTCACATAAATCTTGGCAACACTACTACTAAGTCGCTATTAAGTGAAATTGACCACATATTTTATCTCATACGCACACGCAGACCGACACCAGACAATTCTGTGCGGGCAAGTTGGGGGTTGGCACGTAATTGGTGCGACAGGCGCATAAAGCAATCTGCGAGTAAAATATATGAGACCTCTAACTGGACACATGAAATTAACTAACTGAAATGCCGCAAAAAGAACTTGGCTTGTATAAGTGTGCATGCTTTAACCTAAGTCAACTAACCGCGCGGTGTTCTATACCAGCCAGTTAATTGTCAGCCAGCAAAAACAAGCGCTGCCAGATCAAGCAAAATGCAAGCTATTTTCTCTTTCGTTTGCAGCGGCATGATACTTTACTTTAAATATTGAAATGCATATTTATAGACAGTGTCTAATGGAATATCTCCAAACGAACTGTGTTTTCTAGTCTCAGTCTTATATAAACATTAATATATTATTAAAAATGAACAAAGTTAGCAAGCATGGTCAAGTGCACTATTCAGCGCACGCCATTTATGCGAATAAAAATAATGATGAAATTCAAAAGATGTCAAAAATACTTTACAAACGAAAGTCAAAAAGAAATCTTTTTTGTAGTGTAAGATTCGATATATATAATATTATAGTTAAAAAAACTAACTTGCGCTTTGCTGTTTAACCCAAATACCAAAAAATTAAGTAATGTTGCAGATTTAACACGTTTTAGCTGGTGCATTAAACAAAACTTAAAAACCGAGGTGTTTACTACAGACCACATCATTTACTCAAGTGGCACTGTAAACACGTCAGTTCTTTTGCCAACAGGACGCGCCATGTTATTAAAAAAATGCTTACGTTTTTGGGTGCCCACAGCTGTATATAAATGTTAGTGTTGGCTAAATCTCACTTAATACACCCGCAAGCGAGTGACGTGTAAGTCGGCGATTGCACTTTACGTTTCTGCAAACAATTTAAAGAAGCTAAGTTAAAAAAAAATAAATAAACCAGCTCATCGAAAAACAAAAATGATTCAATTGTTATATGCGTGTAAGTAACTACCCCAATCGAAACTATATGTATATGTAATCTTTACTTAAACTTACCAAAATGAATATCCCATACGCCCACACAGCTGCGAGCATTTTGTTGCTCGTTTCCGGCAGCGCCAACGCGTTTTATTCACCTTCCGATAACGTTGTGGAGCTGACACCATCGAACTTCAATCGCGAGGTTGTCCAGGACAACGCCATATGGGTTGTCGAATTCTATGCGCCTTGGTGCGGACACTGCCAGAGCCTGGTGCCCGAATACAAGAAGCTGGCCGAAGCGCTTAAAGGCGTAATTAAGGTGGGTTCGGTCAATGCCGATCAGCATTCCGAACTTGGTGGTAAATATAATGTACGTGGCTTTCCCACGATCAAAATCTTCGGCGCCAATAAACAATCGCCTACCGATTACAATGGACAACGCACAGCTAAAGCGATTGCAGAGGCCGCTCTGGCTGAGGCCAAGAAGAAGGTTCAGGCCGCTTTCGGAGGCGGGGACAGCAGCAGCAAGAGCCGCTCTTCCAGTTCCGATAGTGATGTCATCGAACTAACCGAAGACAACTTTGACAAACTTGTGCTGAATTCCGAAGATATTTGGCTGGTGGAGTTCTTTGCGCCCTGGTGCGGTCACTGCAAGAATCTTGCGCCTGAGTGGGCCAAGGCTGCCAAGGAGTTAAAGGGCAAGGTCAAGCTGGGCGCTCTTGACGCGACGGCACATCAAAGCAAGGCGGCCGAGTATAATGTACGTGGCTATCCGACCATCAAGTTCTTCCCAGCCGGCTCGAAAAGCTCCAGCGATGCTGAGGAATACAATGGTGGTAGGACTGCCTCTGAGATAATCAGCTGGGCTAGCGATAAGCACACGGAGAATGTGCCAGCGCCAGAGCTTGTGGAGATTACCGATGAATCAACTTTCGACAGTGCTTGCGAGGGCAAACCCTTGTGCGTGGTCTCTGTCCTGCCGCATATTCTAGACTGCGACGCCAAGTGCCGCAACAAGTTCCTGGACACTTTGCGCATCTTGAGCGAGAAGTTTAAGCAAAAGCTTTGGGGTTGGGCCTGGGCCGAAGGCGGTCAACAGCCAGCTCTGGAGGAGTCTTTGGAAGTTGGTGGTTTCGGGTATCCAGCCATGGCGGTTGTCAACTTTAAGAAAATGAAGTTTTCCGTGCTAAAAGGCTCCTTCTCCAAGGATGGCATAAATGAGTTCCTGCGCGACATATCCTACGGCCGTGGCCATACGTCACCCGTCCGTGGAGCCAAGAAACCAACTATCATCAGCGTTGAGCCCTGGGACGGCAAGGACGGACAGCTACCTACCGAGGAAGACATAGATCTGAGCGACATTGATCTGGACGATGATGTCAAGGACGAACTGTAATGCGGCTTATTAAACCGAATTAACACTTCACCAAGACTGCAGTTCATGCTCAATTTTCCAGCTAGCCAACCGATTAACTTAATCTTCTCTAATACTAAGTCACACAGCGTAACTAAATAAATAAACACTAATCTTTTTATAAACAATAAACGTGTGGTTTGGAAATTAATGTTGGCGTTGGCGGCAATATTTATTTGTCTAAAAATATTAAGTAAAACGCAAGTTGCAATATATGGCTTTAGCTAAAAAAACAATATTGGCCAAGATTATATGAAACATTTATCTTACATGGAAGTAAAAAGGTAGAAAAGGTACTAAATGCATCAAATCTTTAAAAATTGCCGCTATGCTAAATGTATAAATTTAAATCTAAAGTTATATATGAATAAAATCAGTATAAGGTGTGTTTTAAGTACAACCAGTGAGCAATTGTTTTCTTTAGGCTAATTCTAGGGGATCTCTCAAAAGAAAGTTACCCAAAATCGTGTTTTAATTTCGAGATTAAACGCATCAAAAGATACGCCAGATTTTAAGAAAGAAGCGCGACTTGAATTGTTTTGGTTTTGGTTTTGGGCCGCAACCTGATGATGTCAAATACCTGTATAAAATGGTGTCTGCTGTCCCCAGCATATATTTTTATGCTCTTTGCAGTCAAGAGACATCTGTCAATGATTTAGGCAAGTTGATGATTATGCTTTTGGTCCACGGGGTAGTTTTCTATTGACTGTATCGAACGTGATGTGGCTGCCGTGATTGTGGACACGTCCATGAAGCGGTATTTCTTATCCTCGCGGCACAACAGAGGATAGCACATGATGCCATAGTAGAACGCCAGAGAGACCACAATGCACGTGAATATTATGGCGATAATGCCGAATGTTGAGAAACTCGACTTGCTGTCCAAATATTCCTTGGGCGTTTGAGGAGGCGGCGTTGTCGTCGTTGGCGTCGATGTTGACGTACGCTGATATCCGCGACGGTAGCCGTCCACGTTGGATATTAGACAAACGGAGGCTGCGTGCATGACAAAGCAATAAAAATGGTGCACATGTTCATTTGGATACACACAAATATTAAAATGCGTTATTCACCTATAACGAGCAAGCCCAGCATATATAAGTTACAGTGGCGGAACATTTTTAATGGGTTAAGTACTAGTAGTAAATTATGAACGGACGCAGGCGCAGATATACAGAAAAGCGATGAAGCAGCCGTAAACAATGAAAACGAATATATTTTACCACGCATTACTATCGATACTTAAAAAAATGCACTCTTCGATACTATGTGCCATCGCTAGCGATACCATTTGTTATCGACAGTATCATTGAACTGAGAGTTATTGTGCTAGTTGAGTTTGCGTGTGCACTTAATTTGTGGAAGTTGTTATAAAATCATTGAACATATTTATACCAATAACAAAAGTTGAATCTTTTTTATCATATAAAACCACGCCGTACACTATATGACAAGAATGTACGGCCTTACAGTTATCTAAAAAATTCTAAAGCAAAAATTTGACGCGACGGCGACGCTAATTTTTAGCTGTATTGTCGTGAGCATAGCAGAGGCAGACAACTGCAAGTTTTTTAATTTGCCATAAATAAAACGATTTTAGCATTTAAACGTAATCTGAGAAATAAATTCAACGCAAAGTATGCGACAAAAAAAGGTACAGTGAACATTTTTTTTGCTTGTCAATTCGATTGTCGGCAGCAAACGGCAGCACAAAACGGGCTCAAAAAGAAGCACAAACACAAAGTGAACAGGAAAGAAACGAAGCAACACAAGAGAAAGAAAGAGAAACGCTATTTGGTTGGCATAGTGGTGGTCGCTTATGCTTGTGAGTACATCTGTGTGTGCGTGTGCGTGTATATGTGTGTGTGTGTGTGTGTGTGTGTGTGTGTGTGTGTGTGTGTGTGTGCGAATGCGTTTGTGTTTGTGCATGTGTAGTTTATGAACATAAACAGTAACATATTTACATATTTAGATCAGTAAATGCTGGAAAAATGTCACATTTGCCATTGGATGCGCGGGCTATACTTCAGCACCTAAATGAATTGGGCTATAGAAATATATCTGCCGAACAACTACGTGAATTTTTAAAAGGTAAGACCACTCACAGAAACAAACTAAAAGCAGCAGTTCCCGCCATAGCATGTTGTCTTTATGTGTGTGTGTAAATGCAACGAGCGTTTCAGTGTTATTTAAGTTGGAGTACGTTTATTTTTTTCTGTTTTCGTTAATTTTTATGAACGATTCGTCACCATTTGTTCGTATTTTCTCGTTAAGTAGAAGAGAAACAAGCGACGGCGACGAAAGTTCGTAGCTGTGTATAATGAAAATTGAGCGAGTATTACTCGTAATTTGTAAATAACAGCAGAAATAACGAAACAATTTTTGTTTAGACCTCTTGTGTACTTGAAGCGTATACATATACATCCAGATGCATACACTCTTCCATGTATTTGTGCACATACATACATACATATGTACATTCTATTGCAAGCGTTTTAGAGCAAGACATTTTGTGGTGGCTACGTCTCGCTCTGTCGCTGCATGTGTGTGCGTATTTGAATGAGCGTGAATATGTTTCGGTCTCCATGGCATACGAAATATGTAAAAACATTCACACAGCTACGTGTGTATGTGTATGTACATATGTATTTATTATTTTTTTTTTTTTTTGTAGTAGTTATTTTCTGTGGTTTAGCAACTTCATCCACAACTTCATGCGTCTGACCGCACATTGCAACTGTGCATACATGTGCACGTTTCGTTGTCTGTTTTCTTGCTTCGTTTATGTTTTATTTATTTATTTTGTATTTTTTTTTTTCGTTTTCTGTGTTTTTCGATTTCTGCGTTCCTATTGCTCTGTGATGAAAGAAATACACGATTTTGTCTATGCACTTTTTGCTTCTCATAATCAGCAACAGAGCCTAGTAATCGATTTGTAGCAATATTTGTGTATGTCTTAAACGTCTCTAGTACTGTTAAAATGGCATAAAGATTCACGTTGTGAATCAGCTGCTGAAATTAAACAAGATGCCAACGTGTGCTCTTTATTCTGTTAGCAAAACGATCGACGACTTGCGGCTCTGAAATGGTTGGCAGCCAACCCTGCCCACCAATACCTTTAAAACGTTGTGTGCTGTATGCAATATATATATATATGTGTGTGTGTGTATACATATATGTATGCTTGTGTTTGTATGAACATATGCAGACGACCGGTGCGAATTGGGGAATATAAATAAATAAAGAAAAAAAAGAATTAAAGCCAAACTAAGCTCGAAAAGAGTTTTCAATTGAGTTGTAGCGATACTTATTAGTTTGTTTCTTTTCGTTACTCTGCTGTTCTTGACAGGGTTTAAACAATTGTTGATTAATTAAACAGGAGTTTAAGTTAGTTATCAAAACAATTTCTAAATTTTAGTTTTCTGTTCGTCTGTTATATTATTAACTATCAAATTGGGTGCAAATCCCGTTCGCTTACTTCTTCTTCCATATTCACCTTTCCTTGGATCGAATTTTATTTAAGGAAACCTGTAAATAATGTCTAGCTCAGGAACTGAGCTGTAAACTTTTTAGACAATTTTGAACGTAGGTGCACCGATTGCCAAGCTACAACTCGTTTAAATATGTCTGCTTCTACGAATCCAAAGCTATTATCATAGCTAAACAATTCTTGGCGTTCATGAGCGGATATATCAAACATTATATCACATCAAAGATATTCCTATTTTTTGGCTCTTACCCCGACCTACCGCAAATTAATTGATGGAGGAAATCCAGCTGATGCAATTATATGGACTGAGAGCGTTACGCCCCTCTCCATTGTTAAGCTCCATTGACTTGGCAGTTGGCTCAGGCTCTAAAACATCTAAAGTACATCTTGAACAAAAACTCAAAAAGATATGCGATAGTTAGTTAATTATTTTTGTTTATTTTTGCTCAAATTAGCAAGTTAATTATTTATAAAAATTATGTGTTGATTAATACACGAAGTAATCAATGAAATTAAGTTAAGCAACGCGCAATCTTTAAATTAACTCCATGAAATTTGTCCTTTATCAACAACTGAACCAATTACTGAACTGAGCGCCATTTCGATCACCTTGGAAACCTTGAGAATTCTTGCAGTACAATTCAACATATTATAAAGAAATCGACATTGACATTGTTAAGAAAAAATATTTATTTTCGTTTAACAACGATGTGAACACCTTGACAGCTCTTCAACTGCTGTTGATATGTTTGGGGAAAAGAAACGCACGAATCATACAACTTGTCTAAATTGCACTCATAAAAACAAGAATCGTTATATACAGACAAATTCCATAATGACGAAAAGGTAAAATATATTTTTTAAGGATGATGATAGTTGATAGTTGGTTGGTGGCTGCTGCTATATGTAGGCTTAAAGCGTTTCAAATTAATTAATACATTTTCAATTTATTTATATCTAATTCTTGGTCCACCAAATTCACAACACAACAACAAATGCAGCTTTTTTGCGCCTAAAGGTATGCAACCACAGTCGGATAAGCAAAGTGCTAGCAAAAGCAATCTCGCAACAGCAAGAGCAAATACTCAGCAGCAGCCCCAGCCAGAGCTTCAGCAACATCCTCATCAGCGCTCCAAAGTAAAGGTCATCAAGAGCAAGCGTCCACTCTGCCACTTTAAGTTTTATTTGGATATTTGCGATCATCAGCTAGCCAAGCGCATTGAGGCGGACATCAAGGCGCTTGGGGGCACCCTTGAATTCTTTCTCAACGACAGTATTACCCATTTCATTACCGATAAGGAAAAAGGCTCGTCGCTTGCAATTACTGATGCTCGCAAGAACACCCGCAGTCAGCTGGGAGCCAATTTAGCACAACCCGCACTTAACTCACCTCAAACGCCGAATACTCCAATCACAACAGTCCATGATAATGGCATTGGCCTACAGCGCAGGACTCGGCAAACTCGTGCCGATGCCATTCTGAGTCGTGTGCGTGCTGTACAGCTGAGCACATCAATCCAAACTGAGCTGCCACAACAGAACCAGCAAAATTATCGCTGCAATACACCAAGTAGCAGCAGGCTTTCACTTGCAACGTACACCATCTGGCAGACAGAATACGCCCTACGCTTCTTTCAGCGTATTCAGACCGAGCTACGTCAGTATTTGAAAGCATCTGGCACCTTAGGTGGAACACAGACAGGTGGATCGGCTAATATTCACCTAAAGGGTCATTTTATCAAGATCGAGTCAATCAAACGAAATCACCGACCATACTATCACCTACTTAAACAGCCCGAGGAGTGGCCTAAAATTGATTTGAGCAGCGAAGACAGTGCCTTTCGTTTACAGACCAAGGCCTATGTTCAAAGTATGACACGTAAGTCTCCAGGCTCACGGACTTCGCAACGTCAACAGGATAAAGATCTGCATCACCCACAGGCGGTGCCTTTGCAACACGCTGTTGTTCAAGCGCTCAAAAAGCCACTAGTTTCTGTGCATACGCCAGACAGTCCCCGATCACATTGTCGAGAGTTAAAGGAATCCAGCGACAAGCAGTGCGGTGTGTGCGAGATTTGCAAGATCGAATACGACACGTTAACTACACATTTACAAAGTAAGGAGCACGAACTATTTGCCAAAAACGTACACAACTTTGTGGCCCTCGATACGCTTATCCAAGTGTCGGCGAGTGTAAACGGCTTTCTTAAAAGAGAACAGCAGAAACATCGTAAATATTTAAGGAAGGAATCGGAACAAGCTGACGCAGAGATAAACAGCGATATGGAAGTTGATGAGCTGCTCAGCAATAACTCTATTGCCTCTGCCACAAAATCACCTAATCAATCCGATTCCAATGCAGCTCAACAAAGTATTAGCAGTGGCAGCAATAATAATAACAAGCAACGACCGTCTCCAGCGTTACGTGAGAAATCGAAGCGCATAACTAAGGGCAAGCATTCCTCGGAAAAGTTCAGAGCTACGGCAAATACGTCACCCAACCAGCAGACCCCTTCACCCGTTAAGAAAATTGCGACACCCTGTAGCCTTACAGAGTTGCAGCGCGTGGAGGAGACGGCCAACAATGCTGCAACAGCTGCTGCCACTCCCTCTAACCCGACGCGTCGTAAGACGCAGAATTCGGTTTTGTCGCCGCCAATTCGCGCAATGCTGCCGCCATCATCCCTCTACAAGGTGGTCGAAGCTAGCGATGCTCTAGCCACGTCACCTCGTATTAGGCGCGGAGCTACTAATGTCTCTGGCAACGTAATGGACTCGCCCTCGTTAATTGTTAAATTCCAGAAAGTGCGTCAATCTGAGCTGCAGCGGCTCAACGGTGAGGCCGAAAATTTCATGTTCCCCAGAACGACAACTCGCAGCAGTAGCGAGCTGCCTACAGATGTCGATCGGCAAACGACCTCAGATGCGCGGGGTCACCACGGTATTTCCTCGCCCAGTTTGGACAGTACCAGCGAAGTGGAGGTGGTGCCAAGTTTAACTACAACAACCACACCTGTCAAGCTGCAAAATCGTGCCACGGCCGTGGGCAGACGACGCAAAGGCACGGCAGCAGCCCCACCGTCACAGATGCAGACTGCGCTTGCGCAGCTGCAGCGCCAGCTGTCAACGGGTAGCAGCAGCAGCAATGGCGGGGGTGGCCAACAACAGCGCTTTCCGAACGCCCCCATCCAGCCAGAGATGCAACCGCAACTGCTAAGCCAGCGACAGGCTACGGCCACACGTAAGAGTAGCCGCATGGCGACTGCTATTGTGACAGCGGCTACGACCAGCAGTCAACTGCAGTTACGCCGACGAACAGAGTCGACGCTCAACGTGAGGCGCGGTGGCAACTTGGAGGATCGGGTGGGGGAGCAACCGGCGAAGAAGGACGATATCCGTCAGGAATCAGATGAACCAGAGGACGAGGAATCAAACGATGAGTCAAGCTCTTCTGGCAGTGATGAGGACTATATAGCTAAAGGAAAGTTGCGCTTATCCCTGCCAACACTAAATCGATTTGATACTCGTGAGGAACGCGCTGCGAGACGCTTATCGCGGTTGACAATCAACATTAATCGAAGCCCTGGAGAAAAACATCAGCTCTCTGAGTCGCCGTCAGCAGAGAAAAAGTCACCTGCGCGACGATGCAGCAGGAGCCAAAAGCCTACGCTAGCCAAAGCGAAGCAGTGTAAACAGCAGGTGACGCCACCGGCAGCGACAAAAAAAACGTTGACAACGGAACTTATCTTTGATTGTAGAAAGAGTGAACGATTGCAGAAGCTGCGCTACGCATTTGAGAAGTCACCGGACGCTGATTTATGGCATCGTGTTTTTCAGCGACAGGATGCTGGCGAGGAGCAGTACTACAGTTACTATGGATCCACGCGCTACTGTAAGCTACCCTACGAACTGGGTCCCATACCCATGGACTGCACAAGTTCACACAACTGCACTCTGTGCCGGGGTCAGGAGGCACAGCGTGAAATAGACCTAAAGCCGCAATCGTCCATTAAGATGGAGCGGCAACGAGATATGGAAACGGAACAAATTGCCGCACAGTCTGACAGCAATCAAACCGCCGCAACCACTACATCTACAACGACGTCATCCATGTACAGGCATAAGAAAATGCACCTGCTGCAGCGCTATCAGCAGGAACAACAACAACAACAGCAGCAGCAGCAGCAGCAACATACATTGAATACTACTATACTGCCAGCAAAATGTGATAGCAAGGCCAGCACACCAGAGCTGCTGGAGCGCGAGTTTGCAGCGCTCAGTGAAAATACACAGGTAGTGGAGCTGGTACGTGCCACAAGCACACAGAGCAACTCGAGTAGCAGCTGCAGCAATAGTCAAAATAGCGGTGCAACGTGCCGCAACAAGCAGTTGGCGAGAATTGCTGAGCTGCCGCCACGTAAATCGCCAAGGGAGCATGCATCCACATTGGCCTTGGTAAGTTGTATTATACGTCAGCGACAGGATTCACAGAGCAAGACAAACTCGGAGGTAGACGAACCGTCGGCGGCACCACCTGCGAATTTAATTACGCCCATGCTGAAGATGCCATTGAAGCAGGAGCCAGTTGCGTCAGTTACGACAGTTGCGTCGACTTTAACTTCTCACAACACGCGTTCACAAGCTGCCACGCCAGTGGAGGAACTGCGCTTCGCCACCGAAATAAGCGAGACTGTAAAACGTATGCGACGTGGACAAAACAAGTATGATACTTTGCCACCTACTCCATCATCAGCGCCAGCACAAATACCCACGCCAGCAAGATGCCGCCGGCCGACAGCAGCAGCAGCGGCAGCTGCTGCCAGCTATTCTAGTCGACTTCAGTTTCCCGAAAGAGAGATAACCACAAGCGTCATGTTGAGCAAGCGTAAGCGCCGCCAGTTGGCGGCAACGCCTGCTATGCGCCTGCCTCAACAGCAGCCGCCGGGAATGGCCCAAGTAGCTGGCGTTCGTAAGCTTCCTAGTAAGAAGGGGCAACTGGAATATGAAATGGAGGCAAATGCTCTGAAGACATTGAATGCGAATATCGAATATGTCAATCCACTGCTAATCTCCTGGCAAATTGATAAATATCTGGAACTGACCGGCCGGGAATATGATCTTAGTGCGGAGGAACAACTGCCGCTCTTACAGCCAACTGCGCGATACTGTGAGGATGTTAATTTTCCTACCGATGTGCACACGCCCCCACCTACAGATTTCTGTTTTACCAGTGAGTTTGATCTGTGCGATTTGTTGGCTGCAAGTGCCGGAAGTGAAGATGACGAAGAAATGTCTGCTGCGCGTTCTGGTTGCCGGAGAAACAGTAGAATGAATTTGTATTGTAGTTACCAGCGTAAACGAAAATGCCTCAAATCGAATCGCACGGGTTGGCCCAGAGCTCAACGGCGTAGAGCGACGGTAATAACAAATTCGAGAGTGCAACCCAGCGAACGAGTCAGTTTCCGTAAATTGAATATAAGGGAGTCCCATGAAGTGCAAAAGCTTCAGGATTTAAAACAGGAACCTTTAGAAACTGAGGAAGAGCAGACGACAACGACCACAACCACAACGACCGATAAAGAGATCAGTAAGGAACAAGACGATGATAATTACGACGACGGCAGTGGTGGGTCGGGAAGTAATGGAAGGACCGCTGATAATGAACTCCATGCTCGCGAAGTTACTGCAATGACCCCTCCGACCACAGATGTGGAGGAACAAGTGCGATGTAGGGACCTATCGGGCGATGAGGCTGCAGCGAGTGCGGACAATGAAAGTCAAGCCGAAGATGATGATGATGAAACAATGGCTGATTCAGTTGATCAGCTACGTGATGGTAAAGTCGAAATAGAAGCAACCGATGCGGATGTCGAAGAAGATGATGGTGAAGATGACTATGACGATGCGTTTGAAGACTCTTACGGTGGCGAGCTCACAAAACATGAACAGCTTACAGTGCAAAATTTCGCTCAGTCATTCGCTGATGAACCGCCTGAGAAACGTATTCGGATAATCTCCGAGTCACCCGCCAAAAGTTTAGATGAGAACCATTCGCAAAAAAAGACTTTGCTCGCACTACAGACCTCTAACGGATGTTGCCTGACTGTCACCTCCACTCCAAACACGCAGCAATCTCGTCAACAGCAGCAGCAACAGCAACGCCGCACGCCACAGCTGAACGGTAGTCTGGGCAGCTGCATTTCCCCAAGCGAAAAGCTGGGCGATAATTCTGATGTGTTTACCGTATCATCCGACGGTCTGGAAACCGACATGGACTTAAGCAACACTCAAGCCGGTGACTCACTAGAACATTGCTCCCATCAGCGTTTGCAGCAGACAACGCCCAAACGCAAGTTTGACATCTCTAAGTATGCGCCTCCCAACAACGCCATGGCCGCCAGCAGCTGTGCCGCCGAGGCGGCTACTGCTGCGGTCAAATCGCTTGCCATATCGCAGTTTCTAAAAAAGGAGGTGCGTGTTACATGTCGGCGACTTCGAGCGCCCTTTCGCCGCTTTCGATATCGTCGCTGATCATCTTTATTGTCGTCATCATTGTCATTAAAATCGTCATTAGTTTAAGTGAGAAAATTGTAAATTCTAAAGAACGGAGAGTTCAAGAAAATTGTTCATTAGGTTATCATAGTCCCTCCATGAGCATAAAAACAGTAGCATAGCTGTCATTACGACATCTGATTCCTGATTCCTCGTCCTCTGTCCCGCTAATGTACATTATTATACATTCATATTCATTGTCTTGATTGTTCGAAACTTTTTATAATTCCACATACGCAGCTACTCCCCTGACATACTTAGGTATCCAAAACCACACACATAATTAGCATAATTTCAAATGCAATGTCAGCAACATACGTAAGATAAGATAAGTTTAATTTTAGCTTAGAACAAATTCCGTACTCTTTGATGCGCCCCCTAGCCGACTTCCCAATAAAGAAAATGAAGAAACGATGCGAAAATACAGACATAAATTAGAATTAGCAAAAGTATAGAACGATTAGATTAATACAAAAAAAAGAGAAAAAAAAATAAGAATGAAAAAAACATACAGTACATTTCGTTTTTAAACAATATCAACTTGATGCTCAAATTATGTATAACACGAATATAAAACCAAAAGCAACTGTAAAAAACAAATAATCAAAGAGTACATTAAAAATATACAATTAAAAATATACAATTAAAGCGACTGCATTTCATTAAAAAATTGCTAACATTATTCAAAAGCCTGATTGTCCTAACTATAAATTCTTTGATCCAATCCAGACTTGCGCAGGCTTATTAAGTATGAAGAACGTTTGGCGACGAACTCGAAGGAGGACTATTTCAGCAGCCTTCATAAACGCGACACCATAAGCTCGCGTGCTAAAATGGGCGACAGGGAAAAAGAGAATGTACCTCAACAGATTGATAAAGACAAAACTAAGCAGCAAGCCTCGGATGATGACAAGGAACGCCTCAACAGTGGAAAAGCCGCAACGGACAACAATTTGAAGCTGGCAACCTTGTTTCGGGAAAAACTTTTGTTAGACGAATCAAAAGAGCCGTCCAATTCCAGCAACTGTGCACGTCGCAGTCGCAGCAAAACAAGGAATGGACCATCCAGAATCGAGGCTTGTCCCAACCAGGACACACGGATCCCACGTCAGTCTAAATTGCGTAAATCTCGACCGCGCAGTAATAGCCGTCTTTCAGCACAGGGTATGATACTCGAATTAGAACCTGTGTTTTTTTGATTTTGATTTTTCTAAAGTTTGCAATCAGGCTAAGCACAAGCGAAGCGATCCTGTGGCCTTGTACCAGTACTATCAGAACGAATGGAGCCATTTCCGTGACCAAATTCCAGGCGAAAACTCCCATACAGACCTACGCTGGGAAATACGTCACAAGCTTATTCCCAAGTAATACATCTACTGTAATAGTTAATAGAATATACGAAAAATGAATGCAAAATAAACTATGAAAGATTCTGTATATTTATTACATGTTTTACATTTTTTATAAACTAGTAACGCCCATCTGAAGACAATGCAAAATTTTTCAATTTGATTTATTTTGCGCTGGAGTGAGTGAGGGAAGAAGGTATCGTTGGATACTTGTAACTCAAATTATATTTACAATGAAGTAGTATTTACAATAAGTTGACTAGTCCAGTCCAAATTTTACTTTAGCTCCACATATGACACACGACTTAAGGCAGCCTATATGAGCTAGACATTTCATTTATTACATTTGCTGATGTAGACAAAAAGAAATATTCTTTCTCTTAGAAAATCATGTTTGTAGCCCTTAAAAGGGCTTTGTGGTATAACAAATTTCAGTATTAGAAATTTGCATATGCTGACGAGCAGTTAGCAATTTCAAATTATTTCTTCGTTGCAGATGCAGTCTTCGCTTTTGGCTTCTTGACAGCAGTTTTCTTGGGGGTCGTAGCCGACACGACTTTTTTCGGTTTAGCACTTGTGGTCTTAGGCTTTGGGGTCTTTGGCTTTGTTGCGCTTGACTTAGCCTTTGCTGTTGTGGGCTTGGCCTTTATGGTTCCTGTTTTCTTCGCATCCTTAGCCTTTGCTTTGTCCGCCTTCTTTTTCTCAACACTCTTCTTGGTTGGTGCGGATTTTGATAGCTTTTTATCAGCGGCACCCGCTGCTTTCTTCGTGGTAGACGTACTACTCTTCTTTTTAGTTGCTGCTGCCGCCGAAGCATTCACCTTCTTAGTTTTCTTCTCGACAGCGGAGGCCTTTGGCTTGGGATCCTTTTTAGCGGATGCAGATAGTTTAAACGAACCGGAGGCACCCTTGCCCTTTGTTTGGATCAGCTTTCCATTCGCAACCGCATTCTTTAGGTACTTCTTAATGAACGGGGCTAGCTTCTGGGCATCGCACTTGTATGTAGCACCGATATATTTTTTAATTGCCAGAAGGGATGAGCCACCACGTTCCTTTAAATTTTTAATCGATGCATCTACCATTTGCTGAGTTGGTGGGTGCGATGGGGGAGCTGTTGACTTCTTTGACTTTGGTGTGGCGGCTGCTGCCTTTTTAGTAGCCACCTTTTTCTCGCCTGAGGCTGCTTGGGCAATCACAGGAGATGCGGACGTTGCAACTGCGGAATCAGACATCTTAACTTCACTTTATTCACTTTATTCACTGTTCACTTGTAAATTTTCGAAAAAAATCCATTTCCTTGGTCACCCGTTTGCGTGAGAATCGAGGAGGACGGCGGTACGAGAATGTTTTTGGTATTGAACGTTTGTTACTCGATGCGTCGTCATTACATACTTGTTAAATGGTCATTTACTAATGTTTGTATTTGGAAATCGTTGTGAATGTGAATTGGAATGTTTTGTTTAATATTCAAATAATACAATATCAATTATTTAGTGTATTTAACATGATTTTATGATTTTTAATTGCCAGTCAAAGTTTAACTTTGAGTCTTGGCGAAAAAGGTTATCGAACAAAAAACACGTTTATTAATAAAAATATAATGAAACTTGAAATGTTTTCCATTTAAATACAATATTTCAACAATTCTTTAATCAAATTCAACTATTAATTTAAATATATCTTAAGTCTTCTATTTTAAATATCTATTTAACATAACCCTTAGCTGGTAAAAACAGGCAAGTTCACAATGAAATCAATATAAAAACGCTTCAGACAAATCTAATTTTGTCTTTAATAGTTATATTATATTATATGTCTATATTTAAAAAAAAAAGGGAGTTATAAGATAATTCCAATTAGTGAAACAAATTGAAATTATAATTGAAACTAAACTAATAAAATATCATGCGACATCCATAAGAGATTTCTGTGTAGCGAAAAATCCATCAGAAGAAAGATTGTTCCATTTATTAAAACAAATCGTTATTATAGTTGATACTAGATTAATAAAATATGCGAAATCCATATGACATTTCTGTGTAAAATCCATCAAGCCCTTAGTTGATTTTTTTTCGTAATCCAGGAAGTATCTCTTGTAGCACAACTGATTGTGCGTTGAGGCGCAAACCAAATGCCTTATACAGCTTATCAGAAAATCATCTATGCATCTACATATAACTTGTCGTCGGTGGAATATAATGAAGGAATTTTCGATTGAGCCCAAAATATGCCTATGGATTTATCTTTAAGATACAATGAGGTAAAGCAAATATTGTAATGCCTTATTTATTTATTGTTACATTTTATGAAGAATAATATATTTATACGAAAATAAGAATCTCCTTGCTAAAAATATTTTGTGGTCCTGAAAAGGACCGATTTATCGGATATTTATATATTAGGGACGAGGTATAACTTAAGCGCGCTCTCCTCGAATACGTCTGGCCAGTTGAATGTCCTTGGGCATGATGGTGACACGCTTAGCGTGGATAGCACACAAGTTTGTATCTTCGAATAGGCCAACTAGATAGGCTTCGCTAGCTTCCTGCAAAGCCATCACAGCCGAGCTCTGGAAACGTAAGTCGGTCTTGAAGTCCTGAGCAATTTCGCGTACTAAACGCTGGAACGGCAACTTGCGAATAAGCAGTTCCGTGCTCTTCTGGTAGCGACGAATTTCACGCAGGGCAACAGTGCCTGGCCTATAGCGATGAGGTTTCTTCACACCACCAGTTGCTGGAGCACTTTTACGTGCTGCCTTAGTAGCCAACTGTTTCCGAGGAGCCTTTCCTCCAGTTGATTTACGAGCAGTTTGCTTAGTACGAGCCATCTTTCTTTCACAATTCTAACTTCACACTGTCACTGTTAAAAACACAATAATCGTGCGTCTCGTTTGTGTATCGCTTATATAGAAAATGAGTGATAAGTTAGAAAGAGATCGATATATTCGCTGTTCGCCGTTTTGTCGAATATGTTACAAGGGTAGTATGTGAGCGAGATGGAAATATGTTTTTACTCGCTCGTCTTTTTGATTTTTTGGTATAAATATAAGCGCTGCCCGAAGAGCTAGCATTAGTATCTCTGTGACATTCGTGGTGTAAAGTGAAGTAAAAAAAAGAAAGTGAAAAATGACTGGTCGTGGTAAAGGTGGCAAAGGCTTGGGTAAAGGAGGCGCAAAACGTCATCGCAAAGTGTTGCGTGATAATATCCAGGGCATCACGAAACCAGCTATCCGGCGTTTAGCTCGTCGTGGTGGCGTAAAACGTATTTCTGGTCTTATTTATGAGGAAACTCGCGGTGTTCTAAAGGTTTTCTTGGAGAATGTCATCCGTGATGCGGTCACATACACCGAGCACGCCAAGAGGAAGACAGTCACAGCCATGGATGTTGTTTATGCGCTGAAAAGACAAGGCCGTACCCTGTATGGTTTTGGCGGTTAATAAGAAAATATTGAATTTATGTTGACACAATCGGTCCTTTTCAGGACCACCAATCCGTTTCATTAAGAGATAAAAAATATTAATTATTCAACACTAACGAAACGTGATGCTGTTAAGCGACTCCATCTCAGATTCTGAGATCGACCGTGATCACAGATGTTCGTTTTTTAAACCCTGAACCCATTAAAAATGGGTACAAGGGTATATTGTATTTGTGCAATATCCAAATGTATGTAACAGGCAGAAGGAAGCATCTCCGACCCCATAAAGTATATATATTCTTGATCAGCATCAATAGCCGAGTCGATCTAGCCATGTCAGTCTGTCCGTCCGTCCATATGTATGAACGCAAGGATCTCAGAACATATAAGAGCTATAGACTTGAAATTTTAGATGTAGGTGCTCCTAGTGCCTGCGCAGATCGAGTCGGTGCGAAAATGGAAACTTTTTCGATGGAGATATGACGTTCCAAAACGACAGAACTCCACGCGGATATGATATGACCTTCCAAATCATCACGCTTTTTTTTCAAAATCGAGGTCGGTGCGAAAATCGAAACTTTTTCGATGGAGATATGACGTTCCAAAACGACATAACTCCGCGCGGATATGATATGACCTTCCAAATCATCACGTTTTTTTTTTTAAAATCGAGGTCGGTGCGAAAATCGAAACTTTTTCGATGGAGATATGACGTTCCAAAACGACATAACTCCGCGCGGAGATATGACGTTCCAAAACGACATAACTCCCCGCGGATATGATATGACCTTCCAAATCATCACAATTTTTTTCAAAATCGAGGTCGGTGCCAAAATCGAAACTTTTTCGATGGAGATATGACGTTCCAAAACGACATAACTCCGCGCGGAGATATGACGTTCCAAAACGACATAACTCCCCGCGGATATGATATGACCTTCCAAATCATCACGATTTTTTTCAAAATCGAGGTCGGTGCGAAAGTCGGAACTTTTTCCATACTTTTTTTTTTGAATAGCCCCGCGCGGAGATATGACGTTCCAAAACGACATAACTCCGCGCGGATATATGACGTTCCAAAACGACATAACTCCGCGCGGAGATATGACGTTCCAAAACGACATAACTCCGCGCGGAGATATGACGTTCCAAAACGACATAACTCCCCGCGGATATGATATCACCTTCCAAATCATCACGATTTTTTTCAAAATCGAGGTCGGTGCGAAAATCGAAACTTTTTCGATGGAGATATGACGTTCCAAAACGACAGAACTCCACGCGGATATGACCTTCCAAATCATCACGTTTTTTTTTCAAAATCGAGGTCGGTGCGAAAATCGAAACTTTTTCGATGGAGATATGACGTTCCAAAACGGCATGTCTTCGCGCGGAGATATGACGTTCCAAAACGACATAACTCCGCGCGGAGATATGACGTTCCAAAACGACATAACTCCCCGCGGATATGATATGACCTTCCAAATCATCACGATTTTTTTCAAAATCGAGGTCGGTGCGAAAATCGAAACTTTTTCGATGGAGATATGACGTTCCAAAACGACATAACTCCACGCGGATATGATATGACCTTCCAAATC